TCCGTCATACTTGGACGGAATCTGCGCCGCCTTTTTGTCGATGTAAGCAAAGCTGCCGCCTGGCCCAACCATTGCTGGGTCCGGGCCCGAGGCTACAACAGTTCCAGAATTCCCTGCACCACCGCTTGCCGCTGCGGCAGCAGCAGCAGCAGCAGCGGGGTCTGGACCTGCTGCAGATCCGGATTGGCTGTTAGCCACACTCAAGGATGAAGAAGAAGTAGAAGAAGACACATTTAGAGGGGCAAAAACAGACTGACACGCAGCACTAGAAGCAGAGTAGGTAGATGAAAGGGTGCTTTGGGCTGGCCGCACATTAGCAAGCTGTTGCAACTGGTCACGGTGCCGCTGCGCCATCAGGGCCATGTCCTCGCGCAACTTCTTAAGCTAGTCGAATACTTTGGCGAGTTGGCCAACGTGGTCCTCAACAGTCCGGACATCCACCAAAGCCCGGAGGAGTGGAACGGTTTTCTCTTCCACCTCCTCATCGGTTAGGGCAGGCAAGGTACAGAAAATGGCTTCATGAGCCTTGACCTTCTCCTSMCTCTCCTTYTCTTTCTCTTCCTCCTCCCTCTTCAATGCTTTCTCATAGAAGAACCGGTACTGCGCTTTCTCTGCCTCAGGGGCAGCGTCCATTTGCAGCTTCCAATCCGCTACAGATGCCATGATGGAGGATGAGGGTGTCAATAAGTCTCTCAAGAGGGGTCCGTACTTCCTCACTTGCCTGGGACAAACACTCCTCTTCCCTCTCCTCACTCCCTCAAGAGCAACACTCAGAAGCTTCTCTCTTCTCTCTCTCTCTCTCTCTCTCATTTGCGATCGTGTAGACGCAGACATTAAAGAACCCAATGAAAGAAACAACTTGAAATCATTCAGAAGAGAAGGTAGAACTCCTAGCCGGAGCGACAATTCATTTGGACAAGAGAGCAGTCAAAACAGCAAAAAAAGAAAAGATCAGAGAGATCTGATCCAGCCACACAGTCTGGACTGACTACGTATGGGGTCCTCCCAAGCCTAGCCAGCCTCAGCTCCGTGAAAACACAGCCAATGCAAGAGAGAATTGAGTGGTGTATAAGGTGCGAGTCAGGCGGCGGATCGTGCGGTAAAGTCTGATAAAACGTCCCAGCAGAGATCCCCTTCGCAGTGTGTGTCCTGGTCCGAAAGCATAAAGTCCGAGTCCCAATCAGATAGAGCAAGGTAACTGACGTCAATAGATTTGGCCTGATGGGCCCTTCTTGTTTGGGCCCGGTCCCACTGAGTCCCAAATGGTCCCAGTGGAGTCAGAACCGGATCCCAACCAACAAGAGTTCCACAGAGACCTACTTTGTCCCTACTGAATTGAAAAACAAAATTTTGCCCCTGAAAGAACCTGTAGACTACAGCCGTTCAGAATGAAATAAACACAGCACTGTAGAGAGATATCTCATGGCAAACAAGATACTTCATTCATTCACTCGTCAGGTAGTAGGCAGTTTACATACCTCACACACAATCAAGACTATGGAGGATGGAAGAAGAACCCAGAGAACCCCAACAGGAAGTCAATTCCATGCACACACACATGGGCACCCTGGTGGCACGGCACTTACCTGAGTGGCCGGGCTCTTGAGATGAAAAGAACTCACCCCCCTCTCACATAGTCCTCCTGACCCAATTAGCATCCTCTACACTAGTGTCCTATCATCTAGGAGGGTCAACATCTACCCCAAAGTACAAAGACGGATCCCCCGTCGATGTTGAAGATCAAAGCAGCAACTTGCAGTCCGTAGGTGCAGATATGGCTGCCACCCTCAAGCTCGCCTACTTGAGGGGAGCCCTAAAGTCACTCCTCGTCTTCCCTGAAGTCCAGATTCAAGTTGTAGGTGCCCTTCACTATCGCCTCTCTCAAATTGCATCACGAAGTCCCACCTTGTGTCTCGCCACCACAAACATGCACTCAAGCAACCTGGCCGGGCCTAGTGTGGACCCTACACGGCCCTGCCAGGTGGGAGCAGCTTCCCTTTACCACGCTGCCCCACTTAACCCTAACTTCCAGCCCTAACCCTAAGTGGTAGCCCTTACCACTAGGGTTAAGGTTATGGCAGCAAAGTCAACTCTCGCCAACAAGTAGAATCCGCTCCGATACCAATGTAACGATCCTGGCCAATTTCGAAGTCCACAATCATCAGAAAGTACAATGTTGTCCAATTGCGAAAAGAAATGAATGAACTTGAGCCCAATGNAATGTAACGATCCTGGCCAATTTCGAAGTCCACAATCATCAGAAAGTACAATGTTGTCCAATTGCGAAAAGAAATGAATGAACTTGAGCCCAATGCCGTCCAATTGCAAAAGAAATGAAAGAACTTGAGAGGAGGGAGAGGGAAAGAAGAAGAAGAAGAATTAAGAAAGAAGAAAGAGATGATGTACTCCAGCATAGACCAAAGACAAAGCTCTTCTTCTTCGCTCAACAACCTCCTCCTCTTTATCTCCTCCTCTCTTATTCAAACAATAAATAAACAATAATAATGTTGAACAGCTGAACCAGAATCAATGTCCGAATCCCACTTCTACTGCAGGCACAAGATGAGGTCCACCATAGCCATGGCAGCCCTTCTTCTTCCTCCGCATACAGGCCGAGGCTATGGSRGACTACTGAGGCTTCAGCCWCCGGTMCATAAGACAACCCCAAGCAGCTACACCGCTGCMCTTCTGCAAGGTCATCACCCAGCAGCTATGCCGCTGCCCACTCAACCGCCATGCCTGACCCTGTCCGAGCTTCCTTGATGCGGCACTACCCCCACTGGGGCCTTCCTGATGCAGCGCCTAGCAAGGAGATGAAGATGGTGTCTACCATAGCCAGTAAGTACCTCGCCACTCTCCTCCTTGGTCCCCTTCTCCCTCCTCCTCCTACCGGTAGAGCTCCACCATAGCCAAGGTGGAAGCTCCCGGCTTCTTCCTCCCAGCAGCGCTGTAGTGCCCAGCGCTACTCCAGCCAGCGCTCCAGCAGCGTGACGCCCAACTCGCACACTGAAGAATGAGGCTGGGCTCTCCGCCCTGCCTCTTGATATAGCGGCCTACTTGCCTCCTGGGCGGTGACTTCCAGGCCGCTCGGCCTCTCCAAGCAACCGGTACTTCCTCCGTTTCGCAGGGAAACATCATTGCAGACTCTGATATTACCTGTACAGGCTCTAGACTCAACCTGGTTGGACTGATACCGTCCTAGACCTACCCTACCGCTACTGGAGTCTAAAAATGCCAACTTTGTGTTTTTCTGTTCGGCCTCCAGTACCCCTCACGCCAACTGCAGTGGGGTGCAGTATCGGCCTACCGGCCTACTTGAGTATTTTTCCGCTACCCCAAGGGCCTCAGGGCCGCTAGCATCGCCACTTGAGTGTTTTTCCCTGCTACAACCCTCAATGCCACGGCCACAGGTAAGTACCGGCCCTACGGGCCTACCAAACAAGCAAGTACCCTTGCGGGTCCCACACACACTCACACCAACAAGCACTCAGGCAGGCATGCAGGTCACAAGCACGCACACACAGACAGACTTAGAAAACACAGCAGAATGCGGGAATCTCAGCAAAGCATCCATTCCATCGGCAGAACTTCAGAAATCAGCAGTGTTCTCAGTCTGTGTTTTGACGGGTCATTACAATAATAATAATAATAAGAAGAAGAAGAAGAAGAAGATAGTGGCTATGGAGGGTCGGGAGAAGAATCAGGGATCAGAAGAGGACGAAGAAGAAGACTCTCCTCGCTCTATCTCATTTGATGCTGATGATGCTCACGGATACTGACCAGCGAAGACGGTGACCCTCTGATGCAGGTCCTTGGAGCACCCAAGTCAGTCTCCACCTCTCATGTGGCTATGGCCCACCAGCCTTCGCACTCCCACTACCTCCTACTCCTCCAACTGCTACTCTAGTGCAGCTCGAACCAAACTGCCGCTGCTCTCCAGCAGCATGTCGAGGACTGGCCCAGCTACATACCGCTGGGCCTGGCTGGATGTCCTACAGTCTTCAATCACGACTGTCCAATCTAGTGTCCAATGATGGTCCTGATTCCAGGCCCCAAGTCCTGGTCCTACGATCCTTGCCTAGAACGACCTGCCTGGCTCCCTATGGGACGTCCAGGCAACCCTGCTGCAGGGTCCTGAGGACTGGACCAGGCACAAAAAACGAATGACTGGTCCAGTACCAGATACGTACAAATCTGAACCTGGCCTACTACGGCTGAAACTGAAATCCACTGGTCTCAACAGGCACCTGCCTGTTTGGACAAAAAGAAGGTCGGAAACATCACATCTGAGACAGACAAAATGCTGTTTGCAACTTTGTACCATACTGTGGCCAGGATTGCGTTGTTGATTGCCAGGGTTCTTCCAACAGCTGAAGCATGCAGTCCTTTCCACTTGTTCAAGCTCCGCAGTATCCATGAGAGCAGCTGCGGCGGCTGTGAGCTCGTACCAGCCATAGCTAGCCGCAACAGAGATTGGTGGAGTGTGGGAATTCAGGAACAAGGACGGCAGTGGGGACTGGTGGTCCTTACCTGGTGTTGGCCAAGGAAACCTGTGTGAGCATAGTCTTCAAGCACCAGTGGGCGAGTGACACATGGGCAGAGTGTGAGGTGGTAGAGGCTAGTGTGCACAAAGGTAGTAGAAAGTAGAGCAGTGTGGTCATACCACAGTAGGGCTACTACGTTGTTGTTGCATTGATGATTGGAGGTGACAAGTGGGGCTTTCGTTATGGATTGACTTCAATGTCCTGTTTGCTCCTGATTGGTGTGCATTTCCGCTTTGGTATTCTGCTTTCAACTCAGCTCAATCCTGCTTGGTCTCCTACGAGATTTGTGTTCTGGAAATTGGTGTATCATTGCGTGGTTCCTTGCAATCACTGAAAGAAAATGACAACGGGGAGACATTAATCCTTGCACCAACTTTCACGAATGATTCGAAATTAAAATGGAAAGGAGCGTTATTATTTGACTGTGCTCAGCATGAGCTTTATTACTAGACATACCTTGTTTGAGAACATCATTTCGAAGTCCGTCCTAGATAGTTCCTGCAGGGCTGATATGCTGCTCTTCTTGTTTAGCGCTTTTTCAAAAGGACTGTCCTCAGCTACAGCAAGCTCGAGTAGAGCCAGTGTTGAACATGTCAGCCCATCACCATCACAAACGTGGCATTCATCAAGATAGCCACTCGGGCAGCAAACCCCACTCTCATCGCGCACAGTTGCACAACAGGTCATCTGAACATCAACCCACAGACTATTGCCGTCACAGATTCCACAGGCATCAACCTGGCCACTTTCACAGCACCTGAGGTTTTTTATGAAGAGAAGAGTGTCATAAGATCCCACAAGAAGTCACACAGAGAGAGAGAGAGAGAGAGAGAGAGAGAGAGAGAGAGAGAGAGAGAGAGAGAGAGAGAGAGAGAGAGAGAGAGAGAGAG